AGCTGGGGGTGTGGGGGGGGGGACTGTTTGTGCCCAGCTGTTTGCTTGGCTTGTGGTGTGGAGATTTTTTTTGTTTGTGAGTGCAGGCTTCCAGATAATTGACAGTCTGGTGGAGTCATCTCTTCTATTCATGCTTTCAGGTCTTTTTTCAATCTCTATGGCTTCTCTGATAATTCTGTGGCTGGGGTTTTCTATAGTGGCTAGGGTTTTGGTGCCATTGAAGTCGATGCTATGACCTGTTGCTTTCATGTGTTGGACTAGTGAGGAAGTGTGTTCCAGCTTTTTTACTGAATTTTTGTGTTCATGCAGGCGGGTACTTATTCTTCTATTGGTCTATCCAATGTATGTGGCAGGGCATGATGCACAGGGGACTTCATGTATGCCTTGGTTTTCCAGGTCAATTTTATCTTTGGGGTTTCTTAGAAACCTATTTTTCTGTCTGTTTTGAAGGCAGTCCTGATGTGATGCCTATGTAGTATCTTAGTCCCCTGTGCAAAAAAAAAAAAAAAAAGCTACAAAACAGACAGAAGATATTAGACACACCAATCAAGCAGAGCACAGCAAACTCCAAGACCAATAAACACAGACCAAGACTCCCAACCAATCAGGATGAAGAAAAAACCATTCTGGCACAGCAGTAGGCTAGCACCAAATTTAAAACAGAAATGGCTGTGAAAGCCTGACTCACAGACGAACACAATATACAAGCCTGATGATGGCAGATGAGATTCTGCCAAAACGTCGCTACAACTTTAAAAGCATAACTATAATGACATGGGAAAATACCCGAACAAAGCTGAATACCATACATATAAATACCCGCAAAAACTTAAGAAAACATGTATGTATGTATGTATGTATGTATGTATGTATGTATGTATGTATGTTATTCAGCTTTGTTCGGGTATTTTCCCACGTCATTATAGTTGTGCTTTTAAAGTTGTAGCAACATTTCGGCAGAATCTCATCTGCCATCATCAGGGTTCTGTATTGTGTTCGTCTATGAGGTCACATAGTATTCCTGCTCTTTTAACTTCCAGCTTCTCATAGGTTTTGGTCTGGCTATTTATTTCCTCCCCGTAGAGGTCTGATATTTGTTTTCTTAAGTTTTCGTGGGTATGTATGGTATTCAGCTTTGTTCGGGTATTTTCCCACGTCATTATAGTTGTGCTTTTAAAGTTGTAGCAATACAGAAGCCTGATGATGGCAGATGAGATTCTGCCGAAACGTTGCTACAACTTTAAAAGCACAACTATAATGACGTGGGAAAATACCCAAACAAAGTTGAATACCATACATGTAAGTACCCACAAAAACTTAAGAAATCACACACACACACACACACACACACACACACACACACATATATGTATGTATGTATATGTATACGTATATGTATATGTATACACACACACACACACATGCACACACATACACACACACACACACATATATACACACATACATACATGGAAAAATTGATGATTATAATTTCCACTGCATAATGTACTACTGAATGCACAATGCACTAAACTGCAGCCAAATATTATTGATTGATTTATGCATATGGTTAATCACAACACTGAGTGCCTCACTACAGTTGTATAAAACCAAAGAGTGCACAAATCATAAAATAATTAAACATAAATAAAGAAATAAAAAATGTTACACTGTAACCAGTCTTCCTGAATGCAGTTAACAGAACTCTTCCAATTCTGATTTTACTTATCCCAGAGCCTGGGAGGAGAACTCTCTCTTGACACCATTCAGAAAAGTTAAGAGCAGGGCTGTCAAACTCCCGACCCATGGGCCAGATGCGTCATGCACTGGCCATCTCATGCCCAGTTTAGTGAAGGGGGAAAAAGTCCTGATACATTATGTGATGCTGCTGTGACAACCTGAGTGTGATGCCCCTGGTTAAGAAGGTGAGGCCTACTGGATCTCAAAGTGAAAGGTGTTCCTCAGAGTAGGAGCTACTACAGAAAATGCACATTTCCTAGGTGCCATTAGATAGCAACATTTAAGGGAAGAGTCCTAGCATGTGCTTATTTTATGTGATCTGGTGGAACAGGTAAGATATTTTCAAGAAGAGATGGTCTTGCAAATAGCCTCTTTTTATGCCCTGCAGGAGAATAAAAAACAAATGTAATTGTATATGAAGTTGATTGTGGTTGTGTTGCACAAAAAAAGACTCATGAACTAGAGAGGCCAAATCTTACCTTATATTTATTTTTAATTCTTATTTTAGGATAGAACGTCTGGCCAAAGATATCATGCAAGACATTGGACACAATGACATCGTGGTTCTCTGTGTACTTAAAGGTGGCTACAAATTCTGTGCTGATCTTGTGGAACATATTAAGAACCTCAGTAGAAACTCAGAAAGGTTCATCTCCATGAAAGTTGACTTTGTTAGAGTGAAAAGTTATCAGGTAAGTAATAATTTTAAAAAATACATTTTGGAATGTGTTTTGATTAGTGCGGTTTTCTTCGGTCTGATGCTCTACAGCTATATTTCACCTAGGATTTCTGCAATTCCTAGTTAGCATGGTCTGGCTGAGAATTCTGGATATTGTTACTATACAAATAAGGACTCCAAGCTTAATTAAAACAGGATTGTGAGCACAATTGATAAAATTTGATGAATTAGTTTCTTTAGCAGAATCAAGAGGAGAACCATTTCCCTGTTTTTCTTACACACCCAAATTTGTTCCAAAGAGTTTCCCAAAGTTTGAAATAGAATTGGGAACTTAGATTGGGAAGGAGAAAATGAAATAGTCCTGTTAAAATTCATCCTTTTTTTAAGCAGGTTTGATGGTGGATTTTCCCAAACTCATGCTGTTGTATGTCTATGAGTAGATTGATATGGTAATGATAATAAACTGTATTTTAATAGGTTTTTCTTTTTCTTTCCTGAAGAAAATATACTGAATCTTTGGGAAAGATGTTTAATTTAAGACCCTGCATTGACTTTACTAGTATAATGAATTCTTTATCCCAGCTAGCTTCAGATTCCCCTTTTTCTTGGTGCTGTAGAAGAAGAGACATTGAGCCAGTTGTTGGTTTACTTGCTGCCAGGAAGTTTCCTGTGTTACTTAGAAATTTTAACTTATATTAATACCAACTTAAAGTTATATTTTAAATGTGTTTTAAAGTGGGTTTCAGACTAGTTAGCTGAAATTCAAAACTGAGCAACCCCATACTTTTTTTTTTTTTTTTGAGTGGTGGGAGGTTAGGGTTGATTCAAAATTTACTTTTCCTTCCCAAGTTGCAGTGACCTCCCCTTCTCATAATGCTATACAGCAAATGAATATAGAAACTGGGGAATTCCAAAAGCACTTTCTTATAATGCATGTGGTCACACAGCTGTTGAAAACGAAAAAAAAGGAAAAATTCTTCTGTGCTTGCCCAAGGCCTCAGGAGTGAATTCAAATAGCTCTTTGGATGGTTATAATTGTTTACTGTAGATACTTCCTTCACTTTGAGTTATGAATATGTATGATATCTACTGTAGAATAGGAAGCTGAACTATCAATAGCCAAGGTTGTCCACATTTCTTTTTGACCTACAGGCATGAGTTAGTTCAAAGAATACTTTAATTAAGAAGGATTTGGGGTTGTTCTGTTATTTCTTTGGCATTTATACGCCTTTTTAGGGCTTGTGTTTCCGGACCATTTCTAACTAACTGGAATGCAGGCATTGCACACCAAATTCATCCCTGTCCTATAAAATTAGTATTTGCACTTCTGGATCAATTCACACGTGCTTGGATTCCACTTTTGCACCAATAACATTTATATATGCAGCTGATGCGACAAGTAATTTGTGAATAAACATTCATTTGACTTTAATACTTTTAATTCTGCAAGCATGGATCACAGGCTTTCTAACTCCTATCATTCAGTTGTCCTCTTAAATTTAGCCTTTCTTTTTTGGTTCTTTTTTTAAAATAAATTTGTTTATTCAACATTTCAACAATTAACACAATTTTCCACATTCTTTTTTGGTTCTTAATATCTTACTCTACCTTCCTAATCCAGAGAGCAATATTCTTCACTTGATTGATTTTTCTATTTCTGAGGATCCCTCTACTAACCGTTTCCCATTTCTCTTTCTTAAGGGAGTCCTGCTGCTTTTCTGTTCATTTTATGCAGCTGTGCTCTTTTCTTTCTCCAACTGTTTGTCTCCAAGATCCATGTCCAAGTCTTGTAAACAGTGGTGGGATTCTGATGGTTGTTTTTGCTCGATGTTCAGCATTCATGGCTAAAAGGTTAGTTTATTACACTACAACGTTAAAGGGGAAGTGGGGGGAGCTTCTCAACTGAAGCACAGAAAACATTCCTACAATAATTAGAATGTACACTTGGTATCTATGAAAAATAGTAGAATTGGGACAGTTTAAAAGTGTGCTGTTTTATCACTCAGGTGTACAACCTGAATCTACACTTATTCTGTGAAAACCTTGGGTGAAATCCAAGTATACATTGTAAGTTGTGTTAGGGATAACATTGGTTACCTAACTTAGTTTGGATAAAAATAATATATATAAACTATGTTAGTGAATTTAAGTGTATGTATCACTTTAAACTGTAAACCAAGTTTTTGGGTGCGGTTGTAAAATCACCATAAGAGGGAGCAAGAGAGCTCACTGTTTGCCCTGGCTTATACTGGAATGCTGACAATGATAGATTGATGGTGATAACTGCGTGTTTGCTGAGAGAAGAAAAGGGGTTTGATTTTTCTTCATATCTCTGACTGCAAAAGAGATATATCACTGGACTGATTGATTGTAAGTTTAATGAACTCTTTTTCGACACTGGACTTTGCAAACTGAATAACCCCCGGACTGACTGAACTTAGTGTATGACATATGGACTGTTTGACTATGCTATAACTCTTGCTGGAATAAAAACTATTTAACTTGCATAGTGTATCTGTCTTACTGAGTGTAAGCTACTACAACGTTTTATCTCACATATCTGCCTGTCTGCTAGACTGCCGTTGCACGTTCTGCTAGGGTGTATATCCCTAACAAGTTGTTACACATTTGTCAATGCGAATATGGTAATAGAATAGGGGATAAATAACTGAAGACTAAGTGGATAACAAAAAATTTTTTAATTACCTATCCTTTTAAATCAAAATAATGGTATCTTTTTGGAACATGTCCATCACTTGCAGTCAAGCAAGAGTTTAGCCCTTGGACTAGAAAAGTTGTACACATCTGCCTAAGTGGGATGTTGTTTTGGACAAGATTTAGGGGTATGCAGCTGGACTGATAAAAGATATTTCCTATGTCTTTATCCCTCGGAAGCTCCTCCTGACACTTTAAAAATCATAGACAAACTAGACTCTGTTAAAAGTGGTTGGCTATGTTGCCAAATAGTGAAGTAGGAATCCCTAAACATTAATAACACCCTTTCAGAATAATTTCTTACATTTGCGATTTGTCAAGAGTGATATTGATTTGACTGGCAGGAGAAGAGATGCGAAGCTTTGTAACCAATTTATTGTGCTCACCTGAGTTGAGAAACATTGGTTTAAATTGTGACCTAATACAAATGACTTTTCTACCCCTACCTTAACCATCTTTTTAAATTCTTTTGATAATGGGTATTTTTCTCCTTTGGAAGCATCTCGCAGTAAGGATTCATTTTCTTGTGCTTTCCTATCTGCAGTTGAAATGGTGATTTGTGCTGTGTTCTCTCTCACTATGTGGTCATAGATTAATTGCCAATTGGCGCCTGGCTGGTGGAATGGATTTCCATAAACGTTAGAGTTGCTGTTTAAACTAATTTGAGTTTTCAAATGAGTGGGAGGGCCAGGATGAGAAGTCAAATTGACACTTGATTTGGCCCTCTGATATGAATGTTGGCAAGGGATCTTTGGCAAATAAGTCTTTCTCTCCCTTTTGGTAGAAACTGCTTGTTTTTTATTCTGATCAAAGAGCACTCTATTAATATGTTGGGGAGATGTGAATTATGCTTCTTTTAATTGCTCATTTTAATGCTTTCAGAGCCGAGTACATAAATGATTGTATGTGCTCCACCAACACAATATTCCCAGTCTTCTGGTTTGAGAAGACATGAAAATGATATAGGCACTCTCACAAAACAGTAGTATGGAGTGGACTAATCACAAAGGACATAAAAAATTGATCAAAATGCTATCTGCTCTTCTTCCATTGTTCTCCCTCCTGCAACGTACTGCCTATTTACTTCTCATTCTCCTTGCTTCTTACTCTGAGTAGTTGGGCACACTTTCATGGTAAGGACAAGCCTGCACTTTCCTTTATTTTTATTGTCCAGGAAAGCTCATTGCATCCAAAATATTTGCTTGGGTGGCTAATGAAGGACCATAGATTGGGAATTTGCTACATAATACAGATGTTGTTTTCCAGCAACAAATGCTTTGTAGTGCAAAATTCAGCTAGCTGTTTGACAAAGGGGGGAGAGGGATATGTTTGTAGGACTACAATGGATATTTTGCAGAAGCAGACAAGGTTGATATTGGAAGAACCATAAAGTCTTGATAGGTTCTAGGATTAATTGTCTGAACTAAGTTCTAGGTGTTTTTCTCTAGAAAGAAGTCTTTTATTATATTTTTTAAAAAATTATTTGTAGGTTGATATCTGTCACATGGAATTTTTTTACATGTAAAAAATATACCCATTATAGCGTTAAAACTTTTTAAAAAAATCAACAGCTGCTTAAAAGCCTCTATTAAAAGAGACAGAACAACATTGTTAAAAGGCAACATCTAATAATGAAAGAGTCTAAAAAATTCTTAATCTCTCAGAAATATTTGATGATCTTTCTCAAGATAAAAGTAGTGTACCAGTGAAACAAACTTGCCTCATCATTATAGTATGTTTCTGTTCACTGGAGCTCTTCATATTGAAGGTAGATAGTAGTCCTCTGAAGTGCCTAATTAGGCCTTGCAGAAAGCAAAGAGTTAGACTATATGATCTCTGAGTCCCTTCCAACCTTGTGATTCTAAGATGAAAAAGCTAGCTTAGCTTATGCCAGCCTGATGCTTTTCAAATATGTTGGATTACTTCTCCTATAATGTTGAGTTGCAATGGACTAAAGACCATCATGCATGCCACAAATCCCAGCCTTTCTTGACATTTAAGTTCCTTCTGTGCAAAATCTATATATATAAAAGTGAAATACCCCTCATGCATCATCACAAAATCTCCAGCACCGTAAAGCCTACAAACTTGAAATTGGCACGTATGTTCCTCTTGGCTTCTAGGTACTCTAAGAAAGGATTTTTCGAAATGATCATCAAAGCATTAGTATTTCGTATATTATTATTAACATGCTCTGATGCTAAGGAGTTCTAATCCCCCCTCCACCTGAAAAGAAATCTGTTCCACATGCAAAACACAAGCAGAGGAGAGGAGTTTCAGTTTTAGTTTCACAGCAGC